ACGTCACCATTTTTTGGCCTCGATCTGACATGACCTGTCCTGAATCGCCCTATTGACCCAAAACATTACATGATTGAATGCCTACCTAGGTCCCGAACCCACCATTAAGGCTAACTTTGACTTGCTCCGACTATATTGAATTAAAAAAAATAACAGAATTTCTTCTATAACAAAATTTTTCTAAAAATATATATGATACATATTGGGGATCACATGTTCCTCTAAGACTTACTAGCCAAACTATGTGTAAGAAATTTGACCATTTTAAAATAATTTACAGTTACAACCCAAATAAATTGTGATTTAGTTATAGCTTGAGCAGGAATCTAAGAATCTGTAACTGCATGAGCTCTACGTCAATAATTTGGAATCTAATAAGCTGTCACACTAAAGGTATCCAAAATAACAATATCCATGTATTGACTAAAATTTCAATATACATTGCAATCCTACTCATTATCTAATAACTGATAATTTGGAAATTCTGATCAAATGCGCGCAAAGCTGTCCAAAGGCCATATCAAACACTATGGAAATATATTCACATTAGCTCAGAGCGGGTAAATCACCATTGCAAAATGGGTAACATACTATATTAAAATACATTCACACCACTATAGACTCGGAAAAATCACACGGTACTTTCGAGTGATTTTAAAAAATAATTGTACATATACTAAAAATTTAATACTGATATAATATGCCATTGAAATGATTTAACTAAACTAAATTTAACTTAAAAAAGAGTTGCTTATTTATAAAAAAAATCACTTTATTCTAAAAATCATGTTGTCAACTCAACAATATGAATTAAGTAAATTTTGCGACTTATATATTTTATTAATAAGCACTATAATAAATAAACATTTCATATAATATTTATGGACTGATATCAATTAAATAAATGCTTCTTTTTTGAAAATAAGTTTTTTCTTTCATCGAGTTATGGACTGCAACCTAGATCGAATAGTATGCGACTTCAATCTTCTCGTCATCTTCTTACATTCAAACACTAAGTTTTGTATCTCAAACTTGTCCGAGAGATAATACCTTTTCATGGAGATGCCTCAAGCATTATTCCTCTTGAAGATAAAGACAAATTGGAGTGACGGAGAACTCAAGTTTAAAAGGTCTACACCTACTTCTTTTCTTTTCCCTTCATTCTTTTTCTTTCTTCTTCCCAATTTTTCGTTTCTTCTCTATTAATCCAATGAGAAATACGTTCAACTTGAGTAATAAATTAACTTAGTGGAGCACGAACATGGTCACTACAACAAAAACGGTCTTTTGCAACGGGGAAACAAGTTGCAAAAAACTTTTCGCAATGCTCAGACATATGTTGGAAACTTCGATGTTGCAATAGAGTAAAAGGATATAGCAACGTTCAAAAATCATTGCTCAAGGTTTCCAAAGAACGTTGTCATTAGTTTTTTGCAACATTCATTGCATGTTGCCGTTAATATTTTAGCAATGTTCATTGCACGTTATCGTTAATGTTTTAGAAACGTTCATTGCATGCTGCCATTAAAACTTTAGAAACGTTCATTGCACGTTGCCGTTAATATTTTAGCAACGTCGATTGCACATTGTCGTTAATGTTTTAGCAACATTCATTGCATTTCCTACCTATTGTTTTTTTTTATTTAAATACTAGATTTATTGTTATATTTATATATTATATTTTACATATATAAAACTCATTTCATATTCTCTATTAAATAAAGGAAAATTCAGAAATCCTTACTCTATGACTCGTAAATTAAGTCATTTTAAATCCCTGACTCGTCTCAATCACGTAACAATTGCTCATTAAAAATGCACAAAGGTCAATAACATTCCCAAATAAAACACTTTAGACGTAGCGAACCTGATAATATTCAAGATTATACATAATTATACACAAAAAATGCTTTTCTCGCCATGAAGAGATATGTATATCATTTCAATGAAATATTTAATTTATAAAAAATTATCTAGTATTTCGTTACACATGCGAAGATAATGAATAAAGAAAATATCCCTTATTCATGACTTCTATGGGATGATACTCCTAATGAAGAAAATGAGCTATCATATGTTGGATGACATATCTTGGAATATTAAACCAGCCCAAC